AGGAGAGGAGAGGAGAGGAGAGGAGAAGAGAGGAGAGGAGAGGAGAGGAGAGGAGAGGAGAGGAGAGGAGAGGAATACTGTGGGTCTAAATCATCATGGGATGAATCAAAAGACAGCTCATTTAAGTGTCTGACTCTCCAAGCTCTGCCAGTAACTTACAGAAGGAAACAGCCTTAACTTTATTTACAATGCCAAAAGGATAGACATAGAAATTTATGGAAAAAAATGAATGGGTCCCTTCCTCCAGCTTCAGGCGTTCTGAATTAGAAAGCTGGAGGGATTCACACCCACTTGAGGCATGTAGTTTAGCCAGCTACATGAATAAGTCTCCCTGAGATCCCTCACTAGTCATGGGAGACATGTAGTTTTCTGCAAAAGCAAGGCAAAGAGTTTAAGTTCAGTGCCCAGTTAACAGGAGTCTCAAGAACAAGTTGTCTAACCCATAGCTGCTGGTGGTAATATTCCTTGTGTGAACTGAAATGCAACAGATTTTATATTACTTGACATACAAACAGGCATTTTTTAAGCTGAAATCAGAGATCTTCACTACTGGAGTTAGGGTCAAACTAATGAGCTGAATATTTTTGCAAACTCATCTACCACATAGCTGTGGCATCATAAACACCTATCTGTTAGGCGTAATAACAAAACACAACATCACATCAGGAACTAGCAAAAAGTGAAGTGTTTAGAGTTCTAAGGCACTAAGCTATAGAAACTATTAATCATGCTAAGAAATACAAAGGAAGACTGAATTGGATGCACTGATGTGAGGCACAATCATACACCGAAAACGCATTAACACTACTACAATTGTGCCACTAGAGCTTTATCTGAGGGAGGCAAGCTTTAGAAATTACTTCAGGACAGAATGCCACAAGGTTTGTGATCTGATAAATCCAGGTCTAGCAGCAGTTTACCTGATGAATTGTTAAAACTGCAGACTAAGTGTCTAATGTATGATGACCACAAATTCTATTCATTTCATAATGGATGTCTGCCTTTAACTTGAGTGACATAATGAACTAAAGCTGTAACTTCCAACCTTGGTCTACTTCCCAGTAAACTGAATTTGTCATGTCTTGTGACTGTTTTCAAGGGATAGGTTTGGCCTTTGATTTGTGCCATGCTTGCAAAATCCTTTATGGAATATAATAAAACAGGTCCAGCAGAAGCTGAGAACCATTATATTAAAAAGTGTAGAGGCTGAATTCTAGTTTTACTTTTTAATGGAGCTTTTATGGAGACCTGTGCCAGCAAAAGTCCAATGCATGTGCCACGTCATAATTACTTGTAATCTGCTTTAAAAGAATGTTCTATTTTCAAGTGATCAAAACCTTTGTCTTTGATCCATTTTGGATCTGTATCCTGCAACTGCGCAGGAGACAGCATGTGTCTCCTCAGTAATAAAATAATGAATTTAATCCCAAGAAAAACACTGAGCTGGAAAGAAATACAAAAGAGCGTTTAACATTTATGATCTGTCACAAAGAAATATTTCATAACAATGGACATGCTTTTTTTAATGTAAGGAGGAGATAATTTCTTGCACTCTGTGCCAGAAGACAGTAATAGAGGAGCACAAATTGCTGACACATCCCCTTTCATGTAGTAACCACAGTATGCATTGCTCTGAGCATGACCACATGTAGGGGAGACCTTGTTCTTTTCTTTCCTAGCATGGGCTCCTGCATGAGGACACCTGTCTCAGGGAGTACAGGATTCAATAATACCTGAGTAGAATTTGCATTAGTAGCCTGCACAGGCCCAGCAACAGGTTGGCCATAGACTGGCAAAGGCCAGTTAGAGCAGCACACAATATCTGGCTTTCATTTAGGCAATATATTAAATATCACAGGTCAAT